CAGCAGCAGCAGCAGCAGCAACAGCAGCAGCAGCAACAGCAGCAGCAGCAGCAGTAGTTGATGCTGCTGTAGAAGAAACTACGTTGGCAGCAGATGTCTAGACGCATAGAACAACAATTTGGGAATCCTGCTGCTGCAGCTGCTGCTGTGTTTGCTGCAGCAGCAGCAGCTGCTGCTGCTACGGTTGTTGCTGCTGCGGTATCACCAGCAGCTGCTTTCGCGTTGCTGCTGCTGCAGCAGCAGCAGCAGCAGCAGCAGCAGCGTATCGTTTGAGAGCAGCAGCAACAGCTAATGTTTTCTATCCTCAACTAAGACAGCAAACTTTCTGTCTGTCCTAGGCAGCAGCAGCAGCAGCAGCAGCAGCAGCAGCAACTGCTGCTGCTGCTGCTCCTGCTGCTTTGCAAGTCTTAAAGCATTTCTCAGTCTGCTTTTGAGTAACGCTGCAGCAGCAGCAATTTCCCTGTGCTGCAGCAGCAGCAGCAGCTGCTGCTGCTGCCGATGCTACGACGGCCCACTTATGAAGCTGAGAGCAGCAGCTGGAGCTGCAGCACCTGCTGCAGCAGCAGCTGCAGCAGCAGCACCTGCTGCAGCAGCAGCTGCAGCAGCAGCAGCAGCTGCTGCTGCTAGAGCTACCCCTAGAGAGGTAGCAGTAGCACCTGCTTCAACTTGCTGCTGCTACTGGCTGCAAAAATTCGTAATATATTGCAGCAGCAGCAGCAGCAGCTGCTGCTGCTGCTGCGGCAGCTGCTGCTGCAGCGCGTCGCTGCTGCAGCATTTGCTGCTGAGTTTCAGCAGCCACACAAGAATTCGATACTACAGCAGCTGTTGCTGCTTCTGCTGCTGCTCTTTCTGCTGCTGCTGCTGCTGCTGCTACCGCTGCGACTGCTGCTGCTGCTGCTGCTGCTGCTGCTGCTGCTGCTGCTAGAGGGGCGGGGGAGCGAATGCATCGTCCAGCAGGTCGGCCATCTCGCTCTCCTGAACTTCGCTGCTGATGTCCGTGTCGCTGCTGCTGCTGCTGCTGCTGCTGCTGCTGTTGTTGTTGTTGTTGTTTTCAGCAGCACTGCAGGGGCTCACTGGATGATGCCTGCGTGGGGCGTAGCTACTACTGCTGCTGCTGCTGCTGCTGCTGCTGCTGCTGCTACTACTTCTACTCCTGCTGCTGCTGCTGCTGCTGCTGCTGCTGCAGCATTCAGCAGCATCGATAGCACGGGGGGTGCTGCTGCTGCTGTAGCTGGGTATAAGCAGGGGGCTGCTGCTGCCTTCTGCTGTTGGAGAGGAAGTGTTGCTGTTGCTGCTGCTGTTGCTGCTATTGCTGCTGTTGCTGCTGCTGCTGCTGCTGCTGCTGCTGAGGTTAACAGCAACATCTGAGAGCTCATAGTCTGAGTCGTCTTCTGTTTCTGCATCGCTGATGCTGCTGCTGCGAGCCATCATCCTTTGCTGCTGCTGCTGCTGCTGCTGCTGCTGCTGCAGCTTGCTGTGCCGCAGCAGCTGCAGCTGCTCGTGCTGCAGCAGCTCCGTATACACCTCACGCCCCCTACCCATAAACATTCTCGCGTCTCCTCTCACTGTCTCCTCCTGGGTCCCTATCTCTACCTTTGCTGCGCTGCGCAGCCTGCTGAGGGTAGCAGCAGCAAGATGCTGCGTTGCTGCTGATGCTGCTGTTTCTGCTGCAACCAGTGCTAGCTGTTCAGCTGTCGCCTCACGAGCAGCAGCAGCTGCTGCTGCTGCTGCTGCACCCGCCTCGGCTGCTGCTGCTTCTGCTGCTGCAGCTGCTGATGCTGACACAGACGCAGGACCTGTACATGCCTGCTGTGCTGCTGCTGCAGCAGCAGCAGCAGCTACTGCAGATGCTGCAGGTGCTCGCATGCAATCGCATAAACAGCAACAGCAGCAGCAGCNGCAGCAGCAGCTACTGCAGATGCTGCAGGTGCTCGCATGCAATCGCATAAACAGCAACAGCAGCAGCAGCCCGTGTCGTTCTGCTGCTGATGCTGCTGCTGCTGCTGCTGCTGTCTGCGTTGCGTCGAACCCCCAACTGCAGCAGCAGCAGCAGCGCAATACACCTTGTTGCTGCTGCCTGCAACAGCAACAGAAAAAAAGCAGCAGCAGAAGCTATCCTTAGCAACAGCAGCAGCAGCGAATTCAACCACAGCAAAAACAGCAGCAGCAGCAGCAGCAGCAGCAGCAGGCAGCAGCAACAGCAGCAGCAACAGCTTACGTTTGGTTTCATCTGGTTTTTCCCTGCTTCTTTTTCTTCTTTCTACAGGTGGTGCAGCAGCAGCAGCAGCAGCAGCAGAGATACCCGGAGGAACCTGCGTAGCCGCAGCAGCAGCAAACGTCGGGGTGCTGCAGCAGCTGCTGCTGCTGATGCTGCTGGACGAGCCAGAAGTAGCAGCACTGCTGCTGCTGCTGCAGCGGGGGTTGTCTCTCATATCTATCAGCAGACTGCAGCAGAGGGGCCGATCGCCGCTGCTGCTGCTGCTTTTGCTGCTGCTGCTGCTGCTGCTGCTGCTGCTCTGCCAGCCTTCCCAGCCGCTGATGAGAGAGCGCTGCTGCTTCGTGTGTTGTCTGCGGCAGCAAATATCGCCATCACCAGTTGCTGCTGCTGCTGCTGCTGCTGCTGCTGCTGTTGCTGTTGCTGTTGCTGCTGCTGCTGCTGCTGCAGCGGCGGCGCGAACGTCTGCTGCGCTGCATGATGCCCGTTCAGCAGCAGCAGCAGCCTTTGCTGCTGCTCTTGCTGCTGCAGCAGCTTCTCTAGCAGCAGCAGCATCTCTTGCTGCTGCTTCTGCCTGCAGCATTTTGTTTCGCTGCTGCGTATAGAGAGCAGCAGCAGCAGCAGCAGCAGCAAGAGCAGCAGGACCCAAGTCATTCGACTGTAAACATATGCTGCTGAGCCGTGCTGCTGCTGCTGCAGCATCAACTATAAAGGCAGCAAGAACAGGCAGCAGCGTCTCGCTGCCGCAGAGGTCGTTGCCCCCCAGGTCTATACACCTGAGGTGTCTGTACACCTCAGAGCGTTTCAGGTTTTCTTCTTCTTCTCGTTCTTGCTGCTCTCTCTCCTGCTGCTGCTGCTGCTCCTGCAGCCGCTGCTCCTCCTCTTCCTGCTGCTGCTGCTGCTCCTGCTGCAGCTGCTGCTCCTGCAGCAGCAGCTCGTTCACTGGATCGTCTCCGTTGCTATCCCTCTTGAGTCTTTCCCTTTCTCCCTGCAGCAGCNCAGCAGCTCGTTCACTGGATCGTCTCCGTTGCTATCCCTCTTGAGTCTTTCCCTTTCTCCCTGCAGCAGCTGCTGCTGTCGCCGCTGCTGCTGCTGCTGCTGCTGCTGCTCCCGCTGCTGCTGCTGCTGCTGCCGCTGCTGCCGCAGGTCCGCTAGCCGCTGAATGTTTGCCGGGCGGTTGCCGCGGTGCAGCGTAGCCAGCAGCACCGTAGCCCCCACATCTTTTATCTCGTTGTTGCTCAGATCCAACACCTGCAGCAGCAGCAGCAGCAACAGCAGCAGCA